TAATGTGGATGTCTACTTCTTCAGTACCATTTGTTGAAAAGACTGACTTGCTCCATTATATTACCTTTGCTCCTTTGTCAAATATCAATTGACTCTATGTGGGCCTATTTGTGGGCTCTCTTTTCTGTTCCATTGATCTATTGGTCTATTTTTTTCCTTTTTAAAAAAAAATTTTTTTTAATGTTTATTTTTGAGAGAGAGAGAGAGACAGACAGACAGAGCGTGAGTAGGGGAGGAGCAGAGAGAGAGGGAAACACAGAATATGAAACAGGCTCCAGGCTCTGAGCCGTCAGCACTGAACTCACAAACTGTGAGATCATGACCTGAGCTGAAGTCAGACGCTTAACCAACTGAGTCACCCAGGCACCCTATTTTTTTTTTTTTCCTTTTAAAAAAATTTTAATTCAGAGACAGTTGATGTATAATACTAGTCTTCGGTGTACAACATAGTGACTTGACAATTACATACATTACAAAATGCTCACCAAAATAAGTGTAGTTACCCTCTGTCACTATACAATGTTATTACAGTATTATTGACTATATTCCCTGTGCTGTGCTCTTCATCCCTGTGACTTGTATATTTTATGACTGGAACTTTGTATCTCTTTATCCCCTTCACCTATTTTGCCCATCTCCCTCTCCTCTGGCAACTACCAGTTCTCTGTATTTATGAGTATGGTTTTTTTTTGTTTTTTTTTTAGATTCCACATATAAGTAAAATCACGTTGTCTTTCTCTGTCTGACTTATTTCACTTAGCATAATACCCTCTAGGTCTCTCCATGTTGTCATGAATGGCAAGATTTAATTTTTTTTTTATGACTGAGTAATATTCCATTGTGTAATACCACATCTTATTTATCTGTTCATCTGTTGGTGGACACTTGGGCTGCTTCCATATCTTGGGTATTTTTTTTTTTACTTGAATACAATGCTGATTTTATCCCAACTAAATAAAGCAATGCACAACTCACCTGGGCAGTAAGTTTAATTCAGGGGGCAAAGGCAAGAAACAAGGATTTTTTGTGTTTGCTTTAATTATCTGTCACTGCACATAGCTATCTTCCACACCTCCTCTCAGAAAATGCGGGCTAATAAATCCCATACAAAGGAACATAGGAATGGGGCGCCTGGGTGGCGTAGTCAGTTAAGCGTCCGACTTCAGCCAGGTCACGATCTCGCGGTCCGTGAGTTCGAGCCCCGCGTCAGGCTCTGGGCTGATGGCTCGGAGCCTGGAGCCTGTTTCTGATTCTGTGTCTCCCGCTCTCTCTGCCCCTCCCCCGTTCATGCTCTGTCTCTCTCTGTCCCAAAAAGAAATAAAAGAAAAAGTTGAAAAAAAAAAATAAAAACAAAAAAAAACAAAACAAAGGAACATAGGAAAGAGAAAAAGGGGAGATGGAATTCATCTAGCATACTGTTGAAGATGGTTTCTCCAAGTTCTCTTCTATAAACTGCTCCATCAACATGGCCCACTCTGGATTATTTTAGTATCATGACCATCTTCCCTGATTTTCATGCACAGACTACATTCTTTGGGATGAGTGGGCATGTTGCTTCCACACATAGGGCTAAAGTCTCTGGGACATCCTGGTAATTTATACTGGTTGCAGTTTGGTGTTCTGAATTCTGAAGGTTGGCCAGACTCAGAATTCAAAAGAGTCCAGAGAGACTGCTAAGTCCCTGGCCAGGAGCAATAACACCAAGCACAGTGCCAAGAACACCATGCTCACTCTGTGGCCCGCCAACTGATCTTGGCCTGCTCCTGTGCCACTGTACCATATCTTGGCTATATTAAATAATGCTACAGTAAATATTTGTCTTCTCTATTGTCAGTACCACATGTCTGATTACTGTAGCTTTATAGTAAATCTTCAAGTCAGATTATATTAGTTTTCCAACTTTGTTCTTTTCCTTCAACATTGTGTTATTTTGGGTCTTATGCTTCTCCTTATAAACTTTAGAATCAGATTGTTGATTTCCACAATATAACTTGCTCAGATTCTGATTTGGATTGCATTGAATCTATATAGATCAAATTGGGAAGAACTGACATCCTGACATTATTGATTCTTCCTATCCATGAACATGAAATATCTCTTTGTTTATTCTTTTATTTTTCTGGGCATTACACTTGAAATTTAGTTCATTAATTTTAAGTGAGAATCTCAATTGGCTAATCTATACAATACCTTTATAAAAATTTTTCACATATGTTCTTTTTTCAGGTCATAAATAAGGTTCATCTTAAGGCAAATCATGTTGTAAAAAGAGATGTTGATGAACATTTAAGAATCAAGACTGTCTATGATAAAAGTATTGATGAGTAAGTACGCCATTATTTTGTCTTTTTAAAACTAAGAATCAAACTATTAAAGATATTTTCATCCAGAAGATCCATAGATGGAGCTATATGCTAATGCACCTTCAAGATGGAATTAAGCTAAAAATGCTTTTTAGTCTGAAAAGATAAAGGCCATGGGATATGATTAAAATCTGTATGTTATGAATAATTTAAACAGAACAGATGTGGATCTCCTTGGATGTGGTCAGTACACACCTAGAAGGCTCCTCTTCCTCAAAAAATTAAAAACTGAACTATGCTATGACCCAGCAATTGCACTAGGTATTTATCCAAGGGATACAGGTGTGCTGTTTCAAAGGGGCACATGCACCCCAATGTTGATAGCAGCACTATCAACAATAGCCAAAGTATGGGAAGAGCCCAAGTGTCCATCAACAGATGAACAGATAAAGAAGATGTGGTATATATATACAATGGAGTATAACTCAGCCATCAAGCAGAATGAAATCTTGCCATTTACAACTACATGGTTGGAACTAGAGGGTATTATGCTAAGCGAAATTAGTCAGAGAAAGACAAGTATCATGTGACTTCACTCATATGAGGACTTTAAGATGCAAAACAGATGAACATAAGGGAAGGGAAGCAAAAATAATATAAAAACAGGGGACTCTTAAATATAGAGAGCAAATAGAAGGTTGCTGGAGGGGTTGTGGGAGGGGGGATGGGCTAAATGGGTAAGGGACATTAAGGAGTCTAGTCCTGAAATCATTGTTGCACTATATGCTAACTAACTTGGATGTAAATTAAAAAATTAATAAAGTAAAAAAAAATAAATAAATAAAATAAAAGAAGGCAACTCCTCATGAGTACTTGGAGGAAAAATAAAAGGAAGAACTGATATATGCCATAAGAACATTTACAAAATTATTAGCCAGAGGAATGATGGTATAATTTTTCATTTAGCATAAGAGAGGTCCAGAAAACACGTAAGTTATGAATCTGTAATAGTGTACGAAGAGCTATGAGGAGTATTTGATGTCTTTCCTTATCCTTAATTTCCCAAATGAATGAGATAACATGATCATGCCTAGTGTTGTGCTTTGGTACAGAGTTAATTCAAATGCTTATTGAGGTAAATTGAGATTTTGGGGGACTGATACTAGATCCTTCCACAAAGCATTCCTTGGGGCCCCTGCCAGGTATATTCTAAACAAATGAGACAGTGCTGTGCTCCAGCATGGCAATTCCTAATGTTTCATGTCTTCATTTTCAGGTTGCTCCCTGAGAAAAGATACCTTGTAAAGGTATGTAATAAATACTCATGACTTGAATTTGATACTTAAAATGGGTGCATTTTATTGTATATAAATTGTACTTAAAAAATAAATTTATTCATTTCTGTTTTGTGAATGAATAAAAAGTGTTGGTAATGAATGTATTTATCATTTCTTCAAAGGCATCTTTATGATGCACTCATCAAAACTTTTTTCATTTTTTTAATGTTTTATTTATTTTTGAGAGAAAAAGACAAAGCATGAGCAGGGGATGGGGAGAGAGAGAGGGAGACATAGAAACTGAAGCAGACTCCAGGCTCTGAGCTGTCAGCACAGAGCCCAGTGTGGGGCTTGAACTCACAAACTGTGAGCTCATGACCTGAGCGGAAGTCAGATGCTTAACCAACTAAGCCACCCAGGCACCCCTCATCAAAGTTTTGTCCTTATTTGATGCTGAACTAGTCTTCTTATTTTATAATTTGATAATAAATCAGTCTTCTTGTTTTCTTACTTGTTCTCTTATGTTTTGGGAGGAGAACATGCTGAACCTAGGTTGAAAAAAAATTTTTTTGAAATACGTTGAGAACACCATTTTCTTGGTGGAAATACTCATTCTCCTGAAGATGGGTTTATCTGATTATATGATATGCTAAAGTTGTCTTAAGAGGTGCTAACCTCCACAGTTTCTTAACTGTTACAGAGTCACACATACACATTAAGCCAATTCCTTATGGGCCACAGAAATTGGTGAGATTGAAATTGATCTTCTAAACATAAGATTTTCTTAACATAAGTTCCTTACTGTTAGAATCACCTAATCAGTCTCAGATTTGAAGTAATTTAGGTTAATAATTAAGATTTATATTTTCAGGGGCGCCTGGGTGGCGCAGTCGGTTAAGCGTCCGACTTCAGCCAGGTCACGATCTCGCGGTCCGTGAGTTCGAGCCCCGCGTCAGGCTCTGGGCTGATGGCTCAGAGCCTGGAGCCTGTTTCCGATTCTGTGTCTCCCTCTCTCTGCCCCTCCCCCGTTCATGCTCTGTCTCTCTCTGTCCCAAAAATAAATAAACGTTGAAAAAAAAATTTTTTTTAAAAAGATTTATATTTTCTAATTCTACTTAAGTAGAGATAGGGAAGGAATTTTTCACTTAGTGTTCTCTCCCCAAACTCAACTAGAAAATAAGGAAATTCCTTTGCTCCTAGACTCATTCTCTCCCCTGCCCCTTACTACGCAACCTTTGACTAAATCAGTATTCCAGAATTGTAAGGTTTTTCTCTTTTTTCCCCTCAGTCGTTAATATCCTATCCTATACTTGTTTTAAATATAATTTGTCCTTTAACTATAACTCTGACTTTTTTCCCCAACTTTTATTTAGAACAAACTTTTTCCACAAGCTATTTCTTATTTGGAGAAGACTTTTCAGGTTCGTAGACCTGCGGGCACTATCTTACTTAGCAGGTATGTCACATTAAGTACATGTCATTTTCTTCAGTTGTTTAGTACTCTGACCTCCCCATTCTACCAGTATGGCAAATTATGAAACTCATACTAGAATATTTTATTATGTTTGTCCTTAGAGACCAAACTGCACGGTATTTAAAAGGAATAATAAAGCACCTGTTAGGTAATCATTCTTTCCCTGATTTTTTTTTATTTTGAGAGAGAGAGAATGAGCAAGGGAAGGCCAGAAAGATAGGGAGAGAGAGAATCCCAAGCAGACTCCGTGCTGTCAGTGTGGAGCCAGATGAAGGGCTCAGACCCACAAACCATGAGATCATGACCTAAGCTGAAATCCAGGGTCAGACACATAACCAACTGAGCCACCTAGGGGCCCCAAGATTTTTTTATTTTTAAGAAATCTTGCAACATAGGGCTTGAACTCAAAACCTTGAGATCGAGTTGCATGCTCCACTGACTAAGCCAGCCAGGCACCCCTCTTTTCTTGATTTTCTTTTATGATCTGCTGGATCTTATCCTAAGGTGTAATTGTCCCCTGTTTTCCATATCTCTTTCTTCCCTCATGTGTCTATAGTATTAGCTTATGAAGTATTTGGGGGTCTGAAAACCCAGGCTAGGAGGATTTCCCATGGAACCCAAATTCTTTCTTAGTCCACTTTTCTAACTAAAATAGTAATCCTTATTAATAAACTAATCTTGCAGCTAGGCTTTTTACAATGTTTTTAACTGCTGTGAACTTCTTTTTTTTTTTTTTTTTTGTAATTAAATTTTGATGTACAAATGAACTAAAGACAACGTGCAACAAACCAACACCAGAAGGAAAATGATCCCCATAGATACTGTACTGGGGAATTTGCAGAGCATACAAAATGCGGCCCAGTTATAGTGCCTGAGGAACACCTCCAGGTAATCAAATCTACTCCTAGCAATGTTTTTACTCTTTAGGATGAACTAAGAAATGGAGATTTTCAATCTGTGTCACCAAGAAATTTTTATAGACTTAAGTTTGAAAGCTTTATTCTTCATTACCAAACGTATTTTAGTTAGCTGATTTTATTCTTTCATTGGTTTTCCTATTAATTTGATAATATCTTCTTTAATTGTTTTTTTCTTTTTTCCATTTATCTTATCTCTGGGACTGCTGAATCATTTCAGCTTAGAACTTCGTCTTTGTCTTCCAAAATATCTTTTTTTTTTTAAGTTTATTTATTTTGAGAGACAGAGTGCAAGCAGGGGAGAGGCAGAAAGAGAGGGAGAGAAAGAATCCCAAGCAGGGTCCACACTGTCAGCACAGAGCCCCATGAGGGGCTCCAGCCCATGAACCATGAGATCATGACCTGAGCTGAAACCAGAGTCGGATGCTTAACTGACTGAGCCACCCAGGTGCCCCTGTCTTCCAAAATATCATCTAGGAGGTATATACCTTAGTATTTTTGCAGGGCAATTCGACATTAGCTCTTAAAATAAAAAATATGTATGATATGCTTCAACCCAATTTGGAAACATATTCCATAAAAATACTTATAACTCTGCAATGTATATTCAAAGATATTCTTTACAAAATTATAAATAATTCAAATATTCAAAGATATCCTTTACAAAATTATAAATAATTATAAAATTTAATACCAATATTAAATTATTGTATTAAATTATGGTATAATTCTGTAATGGAGTACTATGCAACTGTTAAAGAATGAAGTAGATCTCTGTAGACTTGGAAAGATATTTACGCTCTTAAATGGAAAAAAATGTTATAAGTCAGTATGTGTAGTTAACCTATTTTATTTAAGAATTATAGTCAATTTAACATAGTAAAACTGAAATAAAAACATTAAAAACAAAGTGTATGTACATATATATTAAAAAATAAAAGAACTAAAGAATCTGGAAACATACTAAAATATTAATGGTTTTCTTTATGAATTGGATTGTTTGGGGCTTTTCTTTGAAGAATTATATATTTTTATAATCTGATTTTTCATATTAAACATATTACTTATCAGGATGAAGATAAAAAATTTAAATGTGTATAAGAAAACCAATTTATTATACATATGCATTTGAAAATATGATTATTGGGTGCCTGGGTGCTCAGTCAGTTAAGCATCTGACTTTGGCTCAGGTCACGATCTCATGGTTTGTGAGTTCGAGCCCCTTGTCAGGCTCTGTGCTGACAGCTCAGAGCCTGGAGCCTGCTTCAGATTCTCTGTCTCCCTCTCTCCCTGCCCCTCTCCACTCAACGCTCTCTCTCTTTCTCTCTCAAAAATAAATAAACATTTGGGGTGCCTGAATGGCTCAGTCGGTTGGGCGTCCAACTTCGACTCAGGTCATGATCTCGCAGTCTGAGTTCGAGCCCCGCATGGGGCTCTGTGCTAACAGCTCAGAGCTTGGAACCTGCTTCGGATTCTGTGTCTCCCTCTCTCTGTGCCCCTCCCCCACTCATGCTCTGTCTCTCTTTCTCTCAAAAAGTAAACGTTGAAAGAAAATTTTTTTTGAAGTTAGTATGAAAATATGATTATTGCTATAGCTGTTTTTCTCTGTTGAACTGTGTTCTCTAGCTACTTCCAGAAATGAATGTGTTACTGAACATTTACCTAGTAACCAAAATTAAGCATATGTTTAACTGAAGTTTACTTTGTAATTTTTATTAAGTTTTTTGAAGCTCAGTAAGGCTTTTTGGACCCCTATATTTTGGCACTAATACAACTAACTTATTCAGCTTTCATTTCTTTTCTCAAATTTCTTGAGTATAAAATGTTTTAGGGACATGTTTGAAAATTAAAATTACTTCTTAATTACATATCCAGCTTTTTTCCCAAGAAATTTAGAGACATTTTAAGACACATTTCTTTGCTTTTTTTCTAAGGTATTTTTGTTTGTTTTTAATTCTCTTGGCTTTTCCAAATTCTGCTACTTATCTACTTGGGGGTGGTGGGGGGAGAGCCTGATTAAAAAAAAAAAAAATTTTAAATTTAGTTTATTTTTGGGGCGCCTGGGTGGCTCAGTCGGTTAAGCATCCGACTTCAGCTCAGGTCACGATCTCGCGGTCCGTGAGTTCGAGCCCCGCGTTGGGCTCTGGGCTGATGGCTTCCAGAGCCTGGAGCCTGCTTCCGGTTCTGTGTCTCCCTCTCTCTCTGCCCCTTCCCCCGTTCATGCTCTGTCTCTCTCTGTCTCAAAAATAAATAAACGTTAAAAAAAAAATTTAAAAAAAAATAAAATTTAGTTTATTTTTGAGAGAGACAGAACATGAGCAGAGGAGGGGCAGAGAGGGAAACACGGAATCAGAAGCAGGCTCCAGGCTCTGAGCCATCATCACAGAGCCTGTGATTTTTTTTTTTTTTTTTTTTTTTTAATGCATGAGTGATCATGGAAAAGTATGCTTAAAAATCACAATTTTTTGTTTTTAAAGAATTTTTTCAAGTTTATTTATTTATTTTGAGAGAGACAGTAAGCAGGGCAGAGACAGAGAGAGAGGGAGACAGGATCTGAAGCAGGCTCTGTGCTAACAGCAGAGAGCCCAGTGCTGGGCTCAAACTCATGAACCCTAAGATCACGACCTGAGCTAAAGTCAGATGCTTAACTGACTGAGTCATACAGGCACCCCTAAAGATCATAACTTTATGTAACATCAACTTTAATAGGTTAAAGTAATTATAAATAGATGTGTTAGAGAAATAAGAGTAGACAATGTAATAAAATGGGGATTTTTTTTTTCTTCTCTTTATAAGCATCACTTACACCTAAGAAAACCCCCACAATTCACTGATTTTTTTTATTTATAAATTTGGAAATTATAATTGTTTAGAACTTTGGAAGAAGTTTTCTAAAAAGCAGATGTTATAAGGGCACAGAATTGATTAGAAAACTAGAAATTAAGGGTAATGTTGAGGTGACTTTACCTTTAAACTCATCTTTAAAAGGTAAAGATGACTAACTTTTTGTTTGTATTATATGAATTTTTAACTAACTACATGAATTACTTTATAATAGAAAATATATTTCCATAGATAAAATGTTTTTATTAGTTAATTTTGAAATAACTATACATTTACAGGAAGTTGAAAAAAAAAAGTACAAGGAAGTCCATTGTAATTGTCAGTTTCAAAGTTTAAAACTTTTTCTGTCTTTTTTTGTGTCCAGGTTGGCTGCCCTTTATAAATAACAGTTGTTTTAATTAACATTATGGATTAGATTATGTTTATTATATGTAGATTATAATAATTTTACATAAAGTAGAAATTTTAGTGAAGCAAATTCAAACTTAGAGATAGGAACTGAGTAGAGGGAGGAATGGATTTGGCAAAAGTTGAGGGATAATAAATAAAAGTTAAATCGTATGAATTTAGAGTCTGGATTCATTATACATTAAAAGTCCCTACAGCTAATCTTGTCTCTGGTCTGATTTTCTTTTGCTTGCCATGGCGCAGAGATGCAGGGTCTGCCGTGGGGGTAAGTGGTCCTGTTTAGCAGTAGGTGTGCAAGACCAAGAAGGCGTCCGGGATGCAGACTTTGTTCTATATGTTGGTGCTCTGGCCACCGAGAGGTGCAGCCGTGAAAACATCATCTCTTATGCAGCCTATTGTCAGCAGGAAGCAAAAATGGACAGGTAAACTTTCCCCAGAGACTTATTCTCTGAGACCTAATTATGGAAACTCTTAACACAGGTTCTAAGTGTTAAGAGTACAAGAAGTTTGCATTTTCCAGATTGCCTCCAATAATAAGAAACAGCGCTTGGATGGGGGAGTGGGGAGAAAATGTCAGGTGATAGAACTATTATTCATATAGTAATGTCAGTACCAGCTCTAAAGAAAAAGTATTGTCCAGAGAATTTTCTTTGGAAGTAAATAGCTCTCTAAGGAAACAATTTGAATTTTAATTTTAGCACTTCTGTGCTAAAATAAGTGTTTATCTAATTGTCATATAATTTGCCATGTCCTTCACTTAGATAAATTATCACTTAAAAAATTTAGAAACCTCTTATTTATTTACAAAAGATTTTTAAAAATTTTCCCAGTGAAGCAAGCTTGAAATGAAATGTTATTATATATGTAGAAGGTTGCCTGTCACACTCCAGACAAATCAAAGGCAGTAGAAATTGTCATATGTCAGAATAGATTGTAACATTCTCAAATTTAGGAGAATTAATGTGACCATTTCATATGTACGTAGGACCATTGCTGAGGTCTTGAAGGTTCCTCTATCTATCAAGACTAGCTGACTTTAAAGAACTGTTTGACTTCTATTGATGTGTATTCATTTAAGGAAAAAAATGAAATTATTAGTTGAACCAAGTAGGCAATACAAAGGAAACACTGGTATATGCTACAGAATTATACTGTCAGTCCCAAAGGTGGTAAAGAGGTCAAAATGAGCATCATGGATTATGAGGAACAGTCTATTACCATGATGCTGTGTAACTGATGATCTGAAATCTAA